TTTTTTTTTGCCATTCAGCTTGTATCTGGTTTCGCTGAAATGTTTGGCACAGAATTGGTAAAGAAGAAAAAATACGAGTTCCTCACTGGCGCCAAAGTGGCAATCTTTACTTACCACGGATGTGTGCTGAATGTAAATGGGAAAACTGACGTTAGCTATATTTCAAAAGAAACTCCAATGGTGCAGTACTTAAATTGTCATGCAGCCTTGGAGCAAATGCGCGTGGATGCCGAGGAGAAAGACGAACGAGGTCCAGTAGCAATGGTTGTGGGTCCCCTAGATGTGGGGAAGAGTACTTTGTCTCGTATATTTCTTAACTATGCGGTGAGGCTGGGGCGACGACCTCTTTATGCAGACATTGACGTTGGACAAGGTTCAATCTCGATTCCAGGCACTATAGCATCGATACTCATTGAACGACCTGCTAGCATCGAGGAAGGATTTTCTCAGACAGCGCCTCTAGTCTATCATTTTGGACATAAAAGTCCCGGTTCTAATAATGTTCTATACAAGGCGACAGTAGCAAAGATGGCAGAAGTAACATTGGAATCTATGAATGTTAATAAACGAAGTGAGTAAAAATAAATACCAATAGATAACATATAATAATTACATATGAAAATAATTTTATTTTTAGCAAAATACTCTGGTATGATTATTAATACATGCGGTTGGGTGAAAGCGGATGGGTATGCTCATTTGTTGCACACGGCACAAGCATTTGAAGTGAACGCAATATTTGTTCTCGACCAGGAGCGCTTGTACAATGAGCTTCTGCGGGATATGCCATCATTCGTTCGCGTCGTTTTGTTGCCAAAGAGTGGTGGTGTAGTGGAGCGAAGTAGGGATTTGCGTAACGAGCAGCGTGACTTGCGCATTAAAGAATACTTCTATGGAAATCGTACACCTTTCTACCCATTCTCATTCGAAGTAAAATTCCAAGATTTGAAATTGTACAAAATAGGCGCTCCGCCGTTGCCTGACTCATGCATGCCCATTGGAATGAAGGCGGAAGACAATAAAACCAAAGTTGTAGCAGTGACTCCCAGCCCTTCACTACTGCACCACCTCTTATCAATTAGCTTTGCCGAATCGACGGAGGAGGATATAATTGGAACTAATGTAGCTGGTTTTGTCTGCGTGTAAGTATTTAAATATATTTTC